AAAGAACACTATTAGCTAAAAATTCTCACAAGACTTGCTTTTATTTTTTTAATCAAGGTTTATATTTTCCTTTCCGTTATAATAACTTTCGTCAAGACAAACTGAGACAGACACAGAAACAATGACACAGTTGGTTCTTTTGTTGTTTTGGTTTCTATGTGGCACAAAGAAATAGTGGGCACTCACAAAACAGATTGCATGTCATTATTTCTAAAGAACATGTTTCAAGATCCACCTTAGATACACATTTAAAAGGTTTAAAAACACATTTTAAAGTGAATAATTAAAATATCGTTTTCTTTTTTTCATTTAAATGTTTGTGTGTGGATGCTGCAGAAAGTTTGTGTTGTCTAAAATATCCTGAGTGGACTCTTATTGTGACATTAGCCCACATTAAGCAGATCATCCTTATATCTGAAGATCAGAAAGATGGTAAGACAAAAGTATTGGTATTACTACATCCTTTTGGGGTTAAAGTGGACATATCATGATTTTAAATTATTTTTCATGTTTAAATCATTCAGTTGGGGTCTGTATAAAATGGGACTGCAGTGCTTTGGTCTGAATTCCTCCTTATTGTAACTCCACAAGCCCCACCCCTTTTCTGAAGTGTGTCTCAGATCAACTGAACGTATTGATGCTGTTTAAATCCAAATCAGGTGCTTCTCCTCCCGCTCCCCTCCAGCTTCCAGAGCGGTCCATTCTAGCTTGATAGAGAAGTTTATGACTACATAGCAGCACAAAAACGTTTAAATTATACATTAATTAAAATATGTCAGCAAGGGAAGACTTGTCCATCCAGCCTTACATGTTGGAAATAATTTGAAGTAATAGATCAGAAAATGTCATAGAAGATAGAGAAAACTGAATGTGTTGAAAAGTATGACGCAAACAGAATATAAAGATATCTTTGCAGCACTGGGAGAGATTAAAATAAACATTTCTTCACTCCAAGCACCAACCAAAATGCATTTCATTGCTTAAAAAGTGGATTTTGCTGGATATGGCTTTTCCCTTTAATTCACACCAATCCAGTTTCATTCATCTGGTGCCAGTTCTCAACAAAGGCGAGGTTCTTAAACACAAGGAAAACTCCCTCCTCCAGCTGCTGCACAAAGATGAATTTTATGATTTCTGTTTCTTAAGCAGACAGTTCAAACGTTTATGTAGGGAATTTGTCTGTTTCTCATTAAAAGTGCAAGAGGTTGGAGGAGGAGCGAGACGAGGCCGTGAAGAAACTCAACGAGTTCCAGCAGGGTGAGTTTATTTCTCCTGGATCAGAATGACTATGATAAGATGTCTGACTTTGACTCTTTTGATTTTCACGATTTGGATGGATGCCTTCGAACCTGAAAATAAAGTGTGTGGATTCAGAGGAATGTATTAAAGGAAATTTGTGTTGAATAATTAAAAAGTCACAAAGAAGAAACTAAAATAAAAACTAGTTTGGTGAATATCTGTTTTACTGAATGCTACACTGTATTTGTGGGTGTCGACCTTCATCTGGTCTACTTGATCTGCCTTGAGCAACATGAACGTTTGTTTCTCCATTTGTTGTTCTGACTTCACCATTTATCTACCAAACTTATYCACATTTCTTCCATTATTCCCAGATTTACATAGTAAATAGAGGCTAAAAATGAACACTTTCCATGGATTTTATGACAAACTCAGGCTGTTTATACAGTTTTGAAATTTCTAAAGTATAACAAAATCATWTAGAAATTTCTCTCCATATGTCACTTTAATTAATGCAGCCTGGTTGAGATAAACACAACCAGAAATGCTGTAAAATAATCTTCATTCCTGCCATTTTCAAGTGTTCAGTTTGTATTTTTGGGGTAACCAATCATAGCAACACATGCTCATAAATTAGCAGTAAACCATTGAAGGCTACAATTATATTCGCGACACAGCGCTGTCTTTTCAGCGGTGGCAGCTCCGCCGCGGCCTCCGCTTTGAAAATGAGTCTGTTTCCCCAGTTGTGCAAATACATTTCAAATGTTGTGGCCCACCATTCAATTTTCCCAAAACGATTTTCCTTACAGGTTGAATGCTTTGATACGACCACTTTAGCGAAGACGGAATCTGAAATAGGGCACCACATGTCAAAAGATGGAGCAAATAGTTTGTCTTTGTAATGCTGACAGTTGTGTGGATTTTCATCTGAATAAATCTGGCATGTGCCCGCGTATTCAATGATTCTCCAGCCAAAACACATATTGTGTTTGACTTACGCATTAATAGAGGCTGCCTCACTGTGCCAAGCAGCTGCATATTAGGACCTATTACGTGATTTCATAGCTCTTAGAAAATTGCTCCTATTCACAACGAATCGGCCAGGGGGCGGGGCAGCCGGGCTTGTTGTGGGGGGATGGAGGTGGAGGAGGAGGTGGYGGCGGGAGGACAGGAGAGAAAGCCCCCAACACACAATCATGCCTTTTCAACCAGAGATGGCAAGGTTGATGACAACATGACCATTGTGTTATAATGATAACACCACAAAGGCATCTGCCCCCCTCATCAAGGCTTTACAGAGGCTGCAGATACAATTTAATTCACTGCTCTGTTGGCGGCGCTGATACCATTATGCAGCACGTCGGCACAGGGGTAATCACTGTCTTTCCTGAGAGCAAAATTAAAAAAGACAAGCACAAAAAAAAATGAGGAAGCGGGGGGAGAAAGATGGAGCGATGATGATGGGGAGGCCGAAACTTACAATTAAGACTTCCAAATCTGACGTGTCAGAGCCCCCCGTAGACTTGTGCTCATACACTTGCAACACTTCCAGCTCTGTTTATTTACCATGGCTACCAGTAATTATATTTAACATATCATTTAGTTAGAGGCGTCCTTTCATAGGTGGCTCACTGGGGCCGCGGGATTATTGAGACGAGGCAGGGGGATGAAAACTGGTGTTGAATCGTGTGGTGAGGAGGGCACCAGAGGAATGTGGATATCACCCACAGCACTGGTGTTCATCAGCTTCCTAATTAGCTGTCAATGTGGGGAAGGAATTGCACACAGCAATGGCACTAATGCTTAATTCTTACCCTGCTCAGCCACAATGATTAATTAGTTAAGTGGTGAAGCACTCTATTTTTATCAATTTTTTTTTCCTTTTGCTTAAATTTTTGGGTGCCAAGATAGCTTTAAAACTCGCACCTTGGGGTTGTGATTTCATTGTGTGTGTTTTGTTTAGCAGTGTTTGTCAATTTTTAAAGATGAACAGTCCTTCAAAATCAACTTTTGAGCCTTGATTGGATTTTGACCCCAAAAAACTTCATCATAATCAGGAAGATGTGTTCATTGAAAAAAAAATGCATTTGTCGGGATTCTTTCATTGCATGGTCCAAACAGTTTAGGGATAGTTTGGTTTTTATCAACTGGTAAATCTTAGTTTCTTTTCAAAATAATAAAAATATAGCCTGGTCATTCCTACGCARTTCTGCTTGATTCCAATCTCCCTTCTCTGCTCCATCTGACTTGGATTTCTGTAATTTCTGTTGTGAAGGATGAAATCAATTTTCTGCCCTGTTTCCAGCTGCCTGTTTAGTAATGGCAGCAGAGTATGTGAAAGAAGCCATTCAGTCCAGGTTGACATGGTTTCCAAATTCTCGTTTGGCTCGGTTTTTCTCTCTTCCCAGCAGAGAATGGTTATTCACAGTGTGCGCAATTTCCAGTTAGCTTCTTAGCTTAGCTTCTTTCCCGGTCGAGCTGGCACACTGCATAAGTCACGGCCAAACGTTTGTGATTGGGTAAGATCAAATCCAATCATTTTAAACTTCAACAGAGTCCACACCTCCAGCAAGAGATCGTTTCTCAGTAGCCAAGAACTCAGACCCTCTGTACGAAGCAAAGCGTAGAACAAGGGGCTGGTTTTTACCAGGCTAGTAAAACTATAAAAACTCAGAGTTTTCAACGCTGTTCCTCGTGACTCATTGTCCTGCATGTTAGTCTAGTCAGTTGTTGAGACAATACAGGATGAAACAAAGGTTTTGTAAAGAGTACAACTCTTRTGTCAGAGGGTTTTTGACAATCCTCCCTTGTTGTGATTTGTTTCGGGTCACCAGAACTTTCATGACGTGTCTTGCCCACCCATCAGTTCCACTGTTGGGCCACTCAGGGTGTCTGCTGACCTTCACTCACTCTCCTGGCTGATGGATGCTCCAGCAGCTGCCTGAAGCACAATCGCTCCTCTAGCAATGCTACTGGTGCTCATTCTGGACTCACCAGCTCATGTATACATCCCTAACCCATGTCTGATCATGGAGCAAAGTACATCTAAATCACATCCAGTGTTGTATAAAGTACCACAAAGTGATACTTGAGTAAAAATACAAGTATCTTACTAAAAAATTACTTTG